GCCCGCCCCCGCGCGCCCCCGCCGCGGCCACGCGCCCGCCTGTGCCCGCGCGCCCTTCGTCCCCGAGCAGCCCTGAGCCTGCCCTACTGGCCCGCGCCCCAGCCGCGGTCGCAGCTCTCGATGTGCTACCCCGCCCCCAGGCCTGGTGCTTGCTCTCTCCGCCCATCCGCGGAAAGAATCCCGGGCCTGCGGCCCAGGGCAGGCGCGTATATGACCCTTCGGGGGGCTCGTCCTTCAACAGACTTACAGCCTGGAGTCACGGGTTTATGGTGGAATGGCAGGCTTCAGCAGAGACCAGAGAAAAGGATGGCGGTGATGAACTCACACCTCCAGTGACTCCAGCTACCTTCGAGCCTCTCTGTGCAGACTTGCACACCCAGCTGCTGGCAGAAAGAAAAGGCCTGGACCTCCTGCTTCCCTGAGTGGGAACCCGTGTCCAGCTGCACGGTTGTGGGGGGCTGAGGCTGGCAGGACACAGCCCTCTGCGGCCACTGGCTTTGCTTCTCTGGTCTGAGCAGGTGCTGTGTGCAGGCCAACCCCAAGTCCCAGCTCCCAGTGCTGGTGCAACCTCTATTTAGACTCTTCCAGGGCCAGGGAACTCACCCCTGCACAGTCCAACCATTTCTGTCCTGGAGGCCCCTGGCTCTTCCCTGCTGCAGGGAGAAGACTGGGGCTGTGTCAACTCCAACTGTGCAGCCTGTGGACCTCTCAGAGTGTCAGTTTTTGCCCTTGTGAATGCTTGTGTGGATGCCCACCCCATTTCCAGGATGAAGTGAGAATGGGGTGAATCACTTGGTAAACTGAAGCACTCATAATTGGGGGAGAGTATCTCTGGGAGCTTACTGAAGTTGTCCCTGGAGCCCCACTCTGCCCCTGGTGCAGATAGGATGGGAGAATGCTCCCCACCAACCTGGCATAGGGCAGGACTCCCGTAGCGGTAACTGCTCACAGACTCTGCCTAATATGAGGAGAGGGACAGTAACCAGCTGGCCAGGGTAGTTCAGAGATGTCCAGAAGCCCCCGCCTCATGATATCTGGCTGGGTCTCCTATCACCCACTCATGAGTCAGCCCGAGGGGGCATTGCAGTTGAGGAGGTAAGAGCAGTGGCCCCTGGACTGAGGGGGGCAGAGGTAGGGTGCTGCAAGTAGGGCTCAGGACAACCTTCACTTGCTCCCCAGTCCTGCCTTGGCTGCCCCACCCCAACTAGCCAGGACTTGACAGCAGACAGCTTCCTTCATTTCTTGGAGCTTCCTCCTCCCCTGACCTGAGTAAGCCTTCAGGGGCCAAACTGAGGCTTGCCAATAGGCCCCAAAAACTTTATCAGAGGAGGGCAGTTTAAGGGCCAGGGACCCTGGGCCTCAAACCGCAATAGTACTGGGGCCTGGTGGACAGGAAAGGCCTAGTGAACTATGGGAGGCCAAGCCAGGCCAGCTCTCTGGGGAAACAAGCAGGGCCCTCTATGAGCCAGGTGTCTTCTTATGCCATCTCTAGTCAGGGAAGTACCTCCAGGCTGGACAGAATGGGAGGACTGGGGTCCTATACAAAAGGGGCAACAAGTGTGAGCTACCAGTCCCCTCCCAGCCCCTTCTGTTGATGTCTCCAGCAATTCTGTCTCCACCATTCCCAGGGCAGGGCTGGCCTGTGGTGTGCTCCCCACCTGTTTGCTGGACAAATACCTGTGCTTATGGCCCAGGGGACGAGCACAAAGTTTGTCACTCTTCCTAGGTGCCTTGTGGTGGTGTGGGGTGGAGTACCTTCCCAGAGTAGACCCTGCAGTGGCCTGAGAAATGTCAGGGGCAGCTCTCCTGCCCTTCAACACCAGGATAATAGTGCTATCCCTGAAGAGTGCCCAGGCTGTCAGACACTTGGAACTAGTCTGGGTGTGGAGGGTGGCATTGGCGGTTGGGCATTTCTGTTCCAGCCTCCACAGATGTGTACATAATTGAGGCTGCTAGTGCCAAGGGAAAGGCAGGAGATTTTGCTTGACAGGCCGTTAAAGGAAGACAAATAAGGAGGGGAGGTAATTAAGAGTAAACGGATAGTAAGAGTTTACACATTCCAACTTTTGAGGCTCACAACATCCTCGGCCTCCTGGCAGCTGGCTCCAGCCACAGGTTAAGATCATGGGAGGAAAAATCAGGCCTTCCCAGGAAATAGGGGGAATTTCATGACAGGCACATTGATGGGTTGGGAAGGAAAGGCCTGGGGCTACCCACCTGGCCTAAGATGCCTGTGTTGCAAGATGGGGGTGGCAGGGGCAGATAAACTGCCATCAGCAGAGAGGGGGCCCAGCCCTGGCAGGCGGCCTGGAAGGTGCCAATTCTGCATATAGATTAAGGGAGGTCAACTCAATAGGCCAGAAGAGACTGAGAGAGCTTTATGGAGAAACTACTATGTGCCAAGCAGGACTTGGGCTTGGCTGTGCCACTAGAGAGAAGAGGAAGCCCACCAGGAACATCCAGGACACCTGGATTGGCAAGGTTCCCACCCCAGCCTTTCCCACCTCCAGACTCCCCTCCCATCATCCTTTTGCTCTCCGTCAGCCAACAGGATGGACAGCTCCTAATTCAGTGAAAACTCCTGCCCTAGGGATTTCTCCTGTAATTTCTTCTGCCTAGAATACCTTCCCTCATCTCTACCACTTAACTCCATGATATTTTTGAGCCCATAAATACCACTTATACCAGGAAGCCTTCCTGGACCACACCCCCACCCCCTGCAACTGGATGAGCCTCCCCATCTCAGTCCCCTCTCTCCTGCCCCAGCCCCAGCCACACACACATGCAGTGGCCTCTGCCTTGGGTTCAGAAACACACCTGCACTCTGGACTCTTGTCAAGCTGGGACCCAAGGCTCCCTAGTCCCTCTCACCCCTTCCAGGCCTCACACAGGGCTTGGCCATTGGGAGGGTCCTGGAAGTATTAACATAGGGATTATTTGAGTGGTGTGTCAAGGAGTCCGGAAATATGCCCAGGAAGGGTGGTTTAGCATCGGGTATGTCAGCTTTGGCTCAGACATCACAGCTTGTGTAGACAAGTCCTTTGCCTTTCTGAGTCTGTTTCTTCATCCATATAGTGTGAGACATGGTCCCCATCTGATAGGGGTGGTCTGAAGACTCAAAGCATGTAACACTCTGAGGGCAGGACTTGGCACTCAGCAAGGGCTTAGTGAAGGGGAGACACAGAGAGACTCAGGCATCCCCAGGAAGGGCAGGCCCTGTCTTCAGACAGGCAGGGAAGACTTCCTGGAGGAGGAGGGATTCCACCTTGGTCTTGCAAGGTGAGCAGGATGGGATGGGCATATTAAGGAGGGGAGGAAGGGGGACACCTGAGAGCGAGCATGACCTGGGCCAGTACTTCCTTTCTGAGCCCCATTGACCCAGCTCCGCCTCCATCTGGGTCAGTTGAGCTGGCCCCAGCCTTTGCAAATGTCCTCCTATCACAGGGGCCCGTCCCCGCCTCATCCAGCCCACTCCAACATGCTTATTCTTTGCCTCTTTTGCGATGGACTCATTAGTCCCCAAGGGCCCCCAGCCAGAGCACACTCTGTGTATGGGCTGACCACCAGTACTTGCACCTGCCAGTGGCTACTGTGGATCACTTTCCAGTTACTTGGGGACACCGAGGGAGGCGATGCTCCTAAAAATGCCCCTGCCTAAGCAGGGTGCAGGTGCATCGTGGCCTCTAGATATAATCAGATGGAGACCCTACCTCTGAACACATTGAGAACCTTTCAAGAATCTTCAGTGTAATATCAACCCATGGTGAGTTTAGTACTATTTACTGTGATAAATGGAGGGGGCTGGGGTTTAACCCTTTCAGGCAGTGCAAGCTATCACCACCTGCACATCAAGTCGCAGGTTATAGACTGTCAGAGCCTATACAACCCCTTTGTTAGACAACGGGGAAACTGAGTCCCCAAGAGGGAGGGAGACTTGCCTGAGGCCACACAGTGCTCAGTGCAAATTAGGGTGTAGAGCTTTGATTCTGGAGACCTGAGTTGTCATCTCAGATCTGTCTCCCCATGACCAAGACTGAGGCCAGTCAGAACCCACAGACCGTGGGCCTTGATGTCCGCATCCCGGCCTCTGCCAGCAGGGAAGCCAAGAACCCAGCATGGAGCTTATGGGGGAACCAGGCTTCCTGTACTGCAGTGGAGGCCCCTTGGTTAGACCTCCATCATCATGAGAGTCACTGAACTCAGATTGACTGAGCCTGGACCTTGGTTAATTGGGTAGGTTCTGGCCGGTGCAAGAGGCTTGATCCTTGGCCCTAGGAGCTCCCTACTCAGTGGGTGAATATTGACACACAGGAAAAACATGGTGAATACCTCAAACCATGCATAATTATATCAAGTGGGTGGAACAGAGCATATGGTCACTCAGTGCTGTGAGGGCCGAATGGTGAAGGAGGCTTCCTGGAGGAGGAGATCTTGAAACAGGCACAGAAGGGGAGGAAGGGCTTGGATGGATGAATGGCTGGAGGTAGGAGAAAAGAACGTCCCTGGCAGAGGGTCTGAGCAAAGGCCTAATGCAGGAAT